ACGGAATTGTGAGCGTAATCCGCGGTTAAAGCGCAAAGTATTAACATGGAGAACATAATCGATGGCAGTCCGCTTCTTCCGCTCGCGAGTCGTGACGATCGCCAAGAATTACAAATCCGCAGTGGTAAGCCGCTCGGTAATCTTCCAACGTCGTTTAACGCCATATTCCGCGTAATACATATATACATATACATTTACACATATACCAGCACGCGCGCGCGCGCGCGCGCGCGAAATCGAGCGAGGGTGAGAGGGCGGCATTTTGCCGGCGCGACACGGTGCGCCAACACAGACGGATAATATCGCGGGCGGGCACGAATTTTCGTGGAAAGAGGAAAGCGCGTCGATTACGTCGGCCGGGTGTGAGTGCGTCGGAGGTTTCGGGGGTTGTCAGCGAGCGGATGATTGCGCGCCTGCGGCGTCACGGAGGGCTTCGTTTCGCGATGCGCCGAGTACCACGTACATAATGTATAGCGCGTACCCCGAGTGGTCACCTACGTCTTATGCGCGCCTCACAACGTTTTCCGAGGCTCGGGTTATCTTATCTTACACGGGGAGAATTTTCTCTTAAAATATGCCCCGACGATCGTGTAATCGTGGAACAACGTGGCATTTTGAACAACTTTGTGAGAGCTTCTTGAAATTTTACCATACGTTTTATTAGTAAAATGTACACTAAGTATAATTACTAATAAAATAATAAAATTTCAAGAAACTCTCATAAAGTTCTTCAATTTTACGTTTGAAGAACTTTATGTATGATAAAATTTCAAGAAACTCTCGTAAAGTTGTTCAATTTTATTTTTGAAAAACGTTATGAGTTTTTTTAAATCTTACCATACATTTTACTAAACAATTTTAATAAAATGTATGGTAACATTTCAAAAACTTATAAAGTTCTTAAAAAAATTAAAGAACTTCATGAGAGTTTCTTGAAATTTTATCATACATTCTATTAGTAATTATACTTAGTATACATTTTACTAATAAAACGTATGGTGAAATTTCAGGAAACTCTCATAAAGTTCTTTAAAAAAAATTGAAGAACTTTATGAGTTTTTGAAATTTTACCATACATTTTACTAATAAAGTGTATGGTAAAATTTAAAAAAACAATTTTACTTTTGAAGAACTTTATGAGAGTTTCGTGAAATTTTATAATTTACATTTTATTGATAAAAATTTCAAAAACTCTCATAAAGTTGTTCAAAATGCCGTGTTGTCCCACAATTACATCATCATCGGGACAAATTTAAAGAAAAAACTCTCCGTGAACAGTGATGGACAGAATAGTCGCAACACTGTTTTTTAATAAGTTTACGTTTCAAAATCTTCTTCTCCGAGGAATATTTTACTTGATGGCCATTCGAAAACCATTTTGAGCGTTTCCGATCTATTTCTTGAGTTCCTAAACTCATTTTAAAAAAAATGTCGCAACCATTCTGTCCATCACTGTACAAACTCCGTAGTACAATTGAAAAATGTATTTATGAAAAAATTTTTGCAGAAAAGAGAGTTGCTTAGGTAAAGTGTTCAAGTTCTTTACGTATGCAAAACTAGAAGATTTAATCATGGCAGCGCACCGCGCGGTGTCAGATATCTGAAAAAGTTAGTAGAACAGTCTGAACTTGGTCAGCCGCGACCAGACTTCTGTCTTTAATTTGAATATCCGATACAAGTGTGATTTCGTTAGCAAAATATATGTTTATATCCATACTACTAAATGTACAGTTTGTCGCACTAACCGTGTAAATTCCACTATTCACAGATTCAATTAATAATCCACAGAAGAACTTGAAAAAATATTTATGAAAATATTTTAAGAGAAAAAGTCATATGCAGTTAACGTTAGACCAGTTTAATTTTTATTTGGCTTAATTTTTATGGATTTACAAATACGTAAAGTGGATAAGTGACAAGCTCGGTGGAATTTTACCGTAATACTTTGTTTCGTCAAATTTGCCGGCGCATCGAATATTTCGACGAATATCGCCATCACCTTTGAATTATTATGCGCGTATTATGTATGCCGCGGGGGAAAAAGGAAAGCAAGTTGCAAGTTATCCGCGAAACAAAGAGTGCCCCGGCGCCACTCTGCTGTCCTGGCTATACGTCAGCAATTAATCACGGCGTCTAATTAACTCCGCCAACAAAGTACGCGTAATTTCGAGACAGAGGCGGAGAACGACGTGGGAGAGCGTTAGCGTGTACGAGTGTGTTACGCGGATGAAGGCGGCGGGCGAGAGGGGGAGCGGCGCGGGGCGAGGTGGAGACCTGGTGTTTCAACCCCCGTGTGGAGTCTCCTTAACGTTAGGAAGCTCTGCCACTAATTGAATCTCCTCTCTTACTCGCGTCTGGAGCCTCGACAACCGCTGGGAACCGGAGCACCCGTCCTGCATTAAACACCCCCGACACCCTGAGCACCCTCATCCCTGCCAAGCGGTCTCGTATCGCCCCCGCCTCCTCCCTCCCTCCCTCCCTGCCACCCTCTCTCTCTCTCTCCCTTCCACCCTGCCGCGAGTCCCATCCCATCCATCTTTTCTCTTTCCACCTCGCCGCTACCTCTCTCCACCTTCGCACAGAATCCAGCCCCCGCTAAGCGTCCCAGAAAACGAGCCTCCACCGCTGTTATATCGCCGTCGATGGCGAGGAACATCGACCCGTGTACCACCTAGCCCCGTCCGTGTAACTTCCGTGCGGAAGATCAAGCCCGGTCATTTCTAAATATCGCTGCTGAACCGAGAAACAACTCGGATACTTTGGCATAACTCGCCCGTGTTTTTCCGTTCGCCTATAAATGATTTATGTACGCCTACAAGTAGCCGAGAGAGAGTTAAGGTAAGCCAGCGGCACGCGATTACTATTTTTTCCTACTGGATCGCTTACGAGACCCAATCAGGATTCAGCCTGGTAGGTATTTCGTAAAATCATTTATGTGAGAATTATTTCAAATTTTTACAGTTTGCTCTTTACATTAATACGTGCAAAATAAGACTAGTTAAATTAAAATCGACCGTCTCAAAGTTCTAAAGAGAAATATTACAGTTTGCTATGTTACGCGAAATATTACGTGTAAAACACGTTAAAAATATTATTTACACATATTATTATCTGTTAAAATATTAATCTTTGCGTTTGCAAACGCAAATGATGGCACATTTTTCTTTAAGCTTAACGGGTGAGTGAGATTCGTATGAGAAACAAATGTCATAAAGTAAAATAGAACGAATAATTGGAAAAAAGTCAAAATTATTGACCGTTCCGTTCCAACAATGTAAACAGTTAAAACTAAAAAAATGGGAAGAATTATGTAGTAGACATGAGTGTAAACAGCGCCTCAAACTATAATCTTTTGAATCTATTTTATGTTACGTATTAATCGTAAGCGTATTCTTTAGAACAATATTGTCGTTGTAATAACTGAGTGCCGGTTCCTGTCTGGAAGAAACTTTTGAGTATTAGTGCCGCGAAACAACTACCTTAAGTCACCTGATCGAAACCTCTGTGTCCTGATTGGCTCTCGTAAGCAATCCGGTAGGGAAAATAGTATCATGTGCCGCTTGGCTTCAGCCTTTACCGAAATCTCTGCCGAAATGATTATCGATGCTTTAAAATGTTACTGAAATTTTGTAAATATTATTCTTGGGGGCGGAAAATGATAGTGCACGAATCTCGCCGCTCTGTGACTTCTCCCTTTTCCCGGCTTCTTTATTTAGTTATAAATTATTTAACTATAATTTCGAAACAGTTGGAAGAAGGCAAAAATGTAAATAATAACCGCTACTGCACAGAACGCATAGAATTTCTCAAAAATAAATCTGCCCGCGTACAAAGTGAGCTCGCGAAAATGAGCAGTGAAGAAGATTCGGAGTTTTAAAACGGCCCATCTTAGATTCCAGTCTCAAAGGTTTCGTTTTGTGCCCGAGTGAATATCACTTAATATCAAGCGTCAAAAGTGCCTGCCCGAAAGAAAACGTGACGTCGATCAAATGAGACGTCACCGGAAAACCGAAACGTCGCATGACAGTGCGTATCCATTTATAGCACCTTCACGGTTAGCGAGCCCACACTCGAGTTTCCCATAGTATCGCGTAACAAAATAAAGTTGAATCCGAGATGACGCATTAGCACCTGAAATGTTCGCCAAGCCGTGGCATCTTGTTCACCGGTATCGATTTCGTTTAGCTTCCCGCTGATAATGCGCGAACTGTTGAGCCGTGGCCGACGCTTTGTTCGCGGAGGTTTATTTAGGAGAGTCTGGTTGACCGATAGTTACAGTCGATTTCTTCGCGGTTTATTTGCGGTCTTTCGCGAAAATACCAGAGGCTCGCTGAAACGATTCTCGCGGTCATTCGCAGTTGGCAGACTTGACAAATATATTTTTGAGTCAATAACGTATGGCGCTAAAAAATGTCTCGCGGGATAAACTACGAATCTTGAAGAAAATTCTACGTACACATTAAATATCAGATAAAACAATATCAAATATGACAACATAAAGTACCAGGAATTTAAGTAACATTCTATTAAAAAATAGGAAAGTACGGCACGTGAAATTTAGAAAAAATAGCCAATTGAACGGTTTTAAGAATATATATTAACATCTTGATAGAACTCTCGAAAATCTAATTTTCAACGATAATTATGTTAAATAACATCAAGCAAAGTTTCTTCATTCAATTGATTAAAGAAATGCTTTAAAGAATTTAACTTCCGGATAAAGAAACGTAGTAGTTACGAAGTGCCTAAGTGCATTCATGGCTCAGTTCCGCAACGGCCAAACAATTCGCGTTCTAACAATTGTTCAATGCTTCACAACGGACATATTCTTCGAAAAAAAATTATGGATGTTAAAATAAAAACAAAAATTGCGCTAAAGATAATCGACTACGTTTGGCAAATGCAAGTTCAATAGTCGAGCAAACGCGAATAATCTTATGACATGCGACACATCGTCGATCAATTCATATTATGGTGATAATACAACTCGTAGTACTTACCGTCCTTGTTCATATTAGCTTCGAAGCACTTAGCGAGACGACAAGCACGACATTGATTCCTATGGGTCTTGTCGATCGGGCAACGTCCTTTCTTGGCACCCTGGGCTTTGCAGATGTACTCCCGATTGCTGTGTATACTTCGCTTGAAAAACCCCGAGCAACCTGATGACCACAAAGAAACTTGCATGTAACGATATAACAGACGTTAATCCAATTTGTCGTTAAGCTTTTAAGCCTAATCTACAATGTGCTCTTTGCGTCTACACGGAGAGAATTTTCTCTTAAAATTTATCCGGAAAATCATGTAATCGTGGGACATGACATTTCGGAGAACTTCATGAGAGTCTTCCGAAATTTTTCTATACATTTTACTAATAGAATGTATAAGTATAATTACTAGGAAAATTTCAAAAAATTCTCACGAAGTTCTTCTATAAATACCATATTGTCCCACGATTACACGATTTTCAGGGTTAATATTAAGAGAAAATTCTCTCCGTGTAGAAACATTTTATTTTGTAGTCAATAAATGTAAAAAATTTGCGCAAGTGGATAAATTGTATATTACACACCGTACAATCGTATATTGTCGACAAGTCTTTTAGGCGCTTCGATTTGCTTGTATAAAATAGAATGTTTCTAGATGCAGAGAGCACATTGTAGATTAGACTTTAGATCTGACGCACCAACAACGAGAATTTAACTAAGTTGGTATAAAAAAAGAGATAAAATGTATACTTTTAATTCTTTTATATCCAATCCTTTCGAATTTCAGTTTTGAATTTTTAAGAAGTTGAATCGGAAATGAATTGCGTTTCTCTGGATTGCTAATATTTAAACTTAATGTATCCTCTTGATCAACTCATCAAACAATTGTTCCTGCTGTGCACATGATAAACAAGTTTTGTAAAGACTGTTGCGAGAAGATTCGCTTCTCTTTTACAAATGTTATCAATTAATATTACCGTCGCAGCTGTAGATGCCGTAGTGTTTCCCAGAACTACGGTCGCCGCATACATCACACAGTATGTCGAGTAATCTGTCTCCTAAAACAGAAAGACACGTCGCACTTTAGCTCCCTGAAGTCGCTCCTTCCTCGTCACGCGGAGAATGTCGACCATGTCTTCCTCGTATATTCTATCTACTCTCGTACAACATTAATTATAACGAAGAATTATAGATAGTACAAATATTTTTCCGAACCTTCTATAATAATTCAAATCACTGAAATTAATCAATTACACACATTCACGTGTAACTTATAGAATTAACTTTCACTAGAGACAGAGTGTTTTAATCTAAAGGATTGTCTCACACAAATTAGACACCCAAAGCTAACATAGTTTGACAACTGTCTCTGTTACGACATAGTATTCGTTAGAATAACAAGAGCGATATTATCAGATTTGTACCACAATATTTATTACGTTCTTTGATCAAAAATGATGATCAGATAAGAAGAGGCCGACGGTTAAAGGACTCTCGCGAAATCCCGTTTGAGAAAAGCGGGCAGGGCCGCAAGAAGATCACCGGTGCTAATCTGTTTCCCCCTTTTCGCAGGAACCCTAATCGTCCTAATGATCCGCGGCAAGAAAAACACGGCCGTGCCTAAGCCAACCAAAGCCTTCCTTCCCCGGCCTGGGGAATCAACCGCCTTCGCGTCTCACACCCAACCTAACCCGATCAACCCGGGTTACTTCAACCCCAACGGATTATTGCTTTCATCGTGTACACCGACGTCTTCATCTTCTTCTTCTGGATATCCTACGTCGTGCCATATCGTCCGCCATGACATGCGTGAATTAATCTCGAAACAGGCGAGGACTCGATAAGACTCAAACCGTCAAGATTAGCTTTAATGGTACCTTAATTTTCTGTTCTCTTAAATTCTTTTTTTCTGACGCGGCAGATATTCGAGCCAAGAATAAAATTTCTACAGCTCCCCGGAAAAAATTCCACCTTAACTTTGCTACTCTTATATTTCCGAGATATCTCGCGGTGCTACAAATCGGCATATTATTTGGGGAGAAATTTTTTTCAATGTCTTGCAAATCTGGATATCTAAGAAAGAGCGTAATATAATATGTCTGATATAAAAAAGTCACAGTCTAAGTACAAGCGACAATAGGTGCAACCCAAATTAAGCCAGCAATTTATTCGCAAATAATATAAGTTAAAAACATATTGCGAATATACAATATGTAATATTTCTGAATTCTCGAGAAATTTGCCAATGACAGTTTTTTAAAATGAGACTCGCGCTGTCGAGTTTTCATGGAAACGTTCAAGGGCAATAAAAAAATTTATATTAAAAGTACAAGCTATCGCGCATTATGTGAGCGGAATTGGATAACAAAACATCGCTAATTCTCAAACGTGTCATTCGTAAAATGTGTTTCAGCTTTTTCAAACATTTTTAGAAGGCAATTTCTGATTATTTAGGCACATAATACAAAATGAATGAAACACAATATATTATAATTACTTAGCAATTTGTTTAAGTAGATTTTTCATTTATTTGCAAAATCACGTTATATTCTAAAACATTCTAAATATTCTCATTAAACATTGCCTCGTATATCATTGTCTATTTATCGATTAACATGCGTGGACATAAAAATGATTTTAAAACTATCTAATATCTTTACTAAAACATCGAGCACTTAAAATTATTTTGATTTTAATGCACTCGATTCCTGATAATCGCAGTTTATCTCATAAGTGTACAGAAAATTCAAGCACCGTTAATTGTATCTCGATCGCGTCGTGCAACTTTTCAAATTTCGAAAGCCACAATTTATGAAATTCATCGAAAACCTTTAATCAATTATCTCTCGAATATCGTAGTAAAAATATATGTCGTATATCGATTTACCTGTTAACAAAACCGATGTTCAGAATTCGTTCGAACACTATTAATCGCACGGACGCGCCACACAATTTTTCAGGCTTGAAGATTTCGCGCGATTTATGCCGAAGTCTACAATGCGAGTCTCAGAGTCGCAGTCGTGAGAATAATTGACTGTGATTGGTCAATTCCGTCAGACACATAAGAATTGACCAATCATAGTCGATTATTCTTACGACTACGACTCTGAGACTCGCGTAGTAAACCCGGCGTTAGGCCCGTATCAGACTACAGACTCCCGACTCTGACTCGACTACTGACTCGGACTCCCGACTATGATTCAACCAATTAGAGTGGCGTCTGTTCCCGAGTCGGCAGTCGGGGTCGGCCGGTGCTTTGCTGTGATTGGTTGAATCATAGTCGGGAGTCGGAGTCAGTAGTCGAGTCAGAGTCGGGAGTCCGTAGTCTGACACGGGCTTTAGACGTCTGCGGAAGCTACTCGTCCCAGCACTGTCATAATCGTCATCCGATCGCGGCGACACAATATCTCGAAACTGGAGAACGGGACCCCGACGGGATCTATCGACAAGTGCAGAGACGGGGGTTCGGAGAAACTGTTCGCGACACCGTCAAGTTCCCGCCGGACGCGGTGGAACACGCGCGCGTTTTTCAAGACGCGACAATCCGCGATTTACCACTGAATCGCGAGGAACCGCCGCGCCAAGTCACTTTCACGTCGCGCACCCCCGTACCTTTGTCGCAAATGTTGATCGCACAAGTTAAACCCATTATCGCGTGTTAAGACCAAGCAAGAGCGAGAGAGGGAGAGAGAGAGAGAGAAGGAGAGAGAGAAAGAGAGATACAGAGAGAGGGAGAGAGAGAGAGAGAGAGAGAGAGAGAGAGAAAGAGAGAAAGAGGTGCTGCGAGAGTCTTTGGAGACTGACCTGTGCCCATCTCCTCCGCAGCTGTTCAAAAGTCGAACATCGCCAGAGGACGACGTATAGCCGAGGCCGTGGTCCCGACGCGTCGTCGAGGAGGTCGCGCGAAGTCCCGAAGCATTCTCCGTGACGGGATGGCTTCAAGCCTCGACGTACCTACTCATCTCT